TATTTTGTAAAGTTTGTGTTGTCTGTATTGTCTGAAAAGTTGCCATAGTTCAGGGATCAATTCTTCTCTGAACTGTTGATGTGAGAGTTCATATTTGGACGTGGGTCCCATCTCCAAAATATATCAAGATGTTCATATATCAAAGTCCAAGTATTCCAAAATCTGAAAATCAAAACCTTATTTCCCCAAGCATTTTGGATAATGGATACTCAAATACTCTAGCTAATGGTTCCCAAATCCCCTCACCATAAAGTGGAATCTGCGCTTTGAATGAAATTTTCTGGCTACTTGGCAGGGGGTTGGACTGGCTGGCCCACGAGGTCTCTTCCAACTTTGATTCTTATTCTATAATTCTACTGCCTGAAGGATTAATGAAATTGCCATCTAAAAAGACATGCTTTCCAAATTGTAGCACAGGAACACGTCATAGTCCGTATATCAGACTTACTCCATCAAGGTTATTTTACATAGCCATTGTCAGCATCTTTCCTTCATTCCCACTGAGTTCCCAAAAGAATTCCCAAACTGCTGATATCCCCCCCCCCCCCCAATTTCCACATATAGAGTGCAGAATTAAGGATTACCTGTATTTATGTACACAATACGTGAACAGTCTGTGTACGGTGAAGGAGAAGAGACATTTTCATTTTGTATAAAGCTATACTCTCATGTTACCTTTTGTCTGGACAAAGTATTAGGCAACATAAGATTTACATTGGCCAATGATGAAGAACGCTAGTCAAAACATGCCTGGCTTCTGTTAAAATGAAGGAGCATTCACACTAACTCTACATGGCCCAAGCTCCATCTCTTTTCCTTCAAAAATGATGACTATGTAGAGTTAATTTGAATGAGTTATTATTGTAGTAATTTGTTATGTTCATTATACGCATTTGCACACACACACACATATACACACACACATATATGTATGTATGTGTGGCTATATGGTCAAAGTAAAAAAAAAGAAGAAGAGCAGTGCTACTTCAGGCAAAAGTTCAATCTGACCCAGGATTCTCCTTCCCATAGCATTTTATCAAACACCTCATTGGAGCTCAGGAGAAGAACAAGAGTTGGGTAAATTAACTTGTGTGTCGTATTTTAAGCCATTTTTTATCACCTTTCAGCCCATCAGGCTCCCTGGGGTGATAAATATGGAAATAAAAATCAAAATATGCCTATAAAATGGCCACTGTTATAAAATTTCTCTTAGAAATAGTTTTAAAATCACAGAAAAAACAACTAATGTACCCTCTCCTAATTTCAAGAACCAAAAGCCATCTGAACAAAGGTTTAGCTGCCTTCTAGAAATTAGCAAAAGAAGAGGTCAACCTGGCCTCATTTGAGAAGGAATTCCCCTGTCAGAGCATTACTTTGGAGAATGTCCTTTTTACATGTACCCACTAGGCTAGCCTCGGGGGATCTTGAATTTTGGGCAAGCTCATTGGAAAGGAAATGGTGTTTCAGATATTCAGCCCCAAGCCATTTACGTTGAAGGTAGAAGTCCTCAGAACAAGAAGTTCCTTTTGGCAACTAAGGGCCTTTCCAGACAGGGCTTTATACCAGGAGCATCTGCATTTTAACCCACTGCGCCGGTGGCGCAGAGGGTTAAAGCCCTGTGCTGGCAGGACTGAAGACCGACAGGTCGCAGATTCGAATCCGGGGAGAGGCGGATGAGCTCCCTCTATCAGCTCCAGCTTCTCATGCGGGGACATGAGAGAAGCATCCCACAAGGATGATAAAACATCAAAATCATCCAAGCATCCCCTGGGCAACGTCCTTGCAGACGGCAAATTCTCTCACAACAGAATGCTCCTGACACGACAAAAAGAAAATCTGCATTTTAAAAATGTGGAGGTTCCTGGGGCCCTGTCCACACCCCACCCCACCCCCTCCCCTGCCAGAAAACACGTGCTTTCTGGCGTGGGTGTCCAGATGTTCTTGTGGGACTGGCCTGGGAGAACACCTGGCGAACACCTGGCGCGAAATAAACTCAATACTTCCGGTGTCTGTATTGCAGTCCAGACATCATTCCCAAAGTTTATCCCAACCTCCTCCCTAAAAGCCCTAAACCCCGCTTTTAAAAATAAAAGTACTTACCCAGCCTACATTGGAGAGCTCCAGCAGCTCTCCTGGCACATAGAAATAACGTGCTGGGAGAAAGGCAGGGAGAGGAGTGATTTTCCTCCCCCCCCCCCCCCCCTCGTTCTCCCGGCAGAGAGTAAAGGACTACAGCCTTAATCATCTAGAGAAGTCAGCCATAGCAGAGCACCTGATGAACCATTCTGGACACAGCATATTATTTGAGAACACAGAAATGCTGGACCACTCTGACAACCACCATGTCAGACTACACAGAGAAGCCACTGAAATCCACAAGCATGTGGACAATTTCAACAGAAAGGAGGAAACTATGAAAATGAACAAAATCTGGCTGGAGATATTTAAAAACTCAGGACAGGAAATAAAGAACAACACTCAGAAAACAGGGGAATTCCAGACAGGAAATAATCAAGAGCATCTAACACCTCCCAACAAAGAATTCCAGCCAGGCTTTGAAGCTGCAAGGCCATTAAATGCTATTCAAGGTGGCCAATTGCAACATTCACACTTGCTTCAAACAGACAAGAGTTCTTTCTCCCACCCTGGACATCCCACACTTTTCTAGTTTCCAACAAACCTAACAACTTCTGAGGATACCTGCCATAGATGTGGCCAAACAGTCCAGAAAACTCTCAGCAACCCAACATCAGAGTATTGTCAAGGTGGCAAAACATTATTGATTAGAAAGAACACCCAAGAGATAAAAGGCTCTTGAAATTTGCTCTTGCAAGGCCACGATTTCATCTCCTCCTGTTTTCTCCCCACTGATGAGTTGACTAAATGTTAATTACTTTTGCAGCATGAACTCAGCATGTAATAACTGAAGTAAACTGAAGGAAATGAGAGAAAGGCAGAGGAAGAGAAAGTAACTGGGACATTTTAAAAGCAGCCGGAAAAGTGGAGTGACAAAGAATATCCTTGACAAATTGGGATACTTGGAGGGGATGTCTGTGTTGAATGGCAAAGAGAAAATCAGAAGATAATCTATGGGAAAATATAGGTGAATTATAAGTAGAAGACACTGTGGTCTGTGCCTCTATAAAATAATAGCAAAGGATTGTGAGAGGCAGTGGGCAAGTAATGCAAATTCTACACCAATGGGGAGATAAGAAACAATGAGGTGTCTGTGGTGGAGTAAAAAAAGAAAATCCAGGATGAAATTGTCCCATATGAAAGCCTTCACTTTGATGGTAGGAAGTATGGTGTTGGTGGAGGACATTGGCAGGGCTCTTGCACATGTTCATGGCACTCACTATAAGTTGTAATGTCATTGGAGGGAGGGTCATTGGTGTCTCCTGAGATGTGGGAGCTATACATATACATGGAAGTGGAAACCTGTAAGCGGATACTCCAGGCACACGCATACATACATATTTGCACTTTTATTTTGCTTAGATTTTTATGTGAAGCCCCTGTGAACCATCACGGAGATTAAGATCATCTGGGGAGGCCCTGCTCTCGGTCCCACGTTCTTTGCAAGTGCGACTGGTGGGGACGAGAGACAGGGCCCTCTCAGTGGTGGCACCTTGGCTGTGGAACTTCCTCCTGAGTGATATTAGATCATCCCCCTCCCTCCTAGCCTTCAGAAGGAGAGTAAAGACTTGTCTCTGGGAGCAGGCTTTTGAGAACTAATTCTGTGCAATAGCTTTTGAGAACTAATGCAGTGCAATAACTTGAAAGCTGAATAATGTGCAATTGACTACGGAATGGCCTTTGACTCTGAACCATGGATGGCATGTTTTTAGCATTGGAATGTATTTTGCCATGTTTAATTTGTATTAATTTTAATCCAATTTATTTTATGTCGACATTGTATGTTTTAAGGCAGTATGTCAGTGCCGCTCGTCAGTCCCCCTCGGGGTAGAGAAAAGCAAGATATAAATAAGGTAAATAAACAAATAATAATAAATAATGTGGTTATTCATTACAACAAAGTTCTGCTAAGGATTCCCTTTGGGCGGGGGGAGGGGGATCACTCACAAGTCAGACACTGCCACTTTTCTCCTGTGTGATTTTACAAACATCTTTTGCTGGATGAAGATGACAGTACAAACTTTGAAAACTTTGCTCCAAGTGCCTCATCCATTTTTGACTGGCCAATCAAGGCATGGGTCTTTTGGGAAGTTTGTTTTGTTTTGCTGCAGGAGCAGACTGTGGCCCTKCCTCCAGGTGTTTGTACTTCAACTCCCACAATTCCTAACAGCCTCTCCTGTTAGGAATTGTTAGGGGAAGGGAGGGGAGGGGAGAGGAGGGAAAGGAGAGGGAAAGGAAAAGGGAAGGGAAAAGGGAAGGAAGGGGGAGGGGAGGGGAAGGAAGTGGAAGTGAAAGGGAAGGGGAAAGGGAAAGGCAAAGGGAGGGGAAGGGAAAGAAAGGGAAGAGAAAGAGAAGGAAACAAATGGGAAGGGGAACGGAAGGGAAAGGGAAGGGAAAAGAAAGGGGAAAAGAAAGGAAAGGAGAAGGAAAGAGAAAGGAAAGGGGAAGGAATGAGGAAGGAAAAGAAAGGGGAAGGAAAGGGGGAAGGAAAAGTAAAGGGGAAGGGGGGTGTGGGGAGGGGGCGTGGGGAGGGGGAAGGGAGGGGAAGGAAGTGGAAGTGAAAGGGAAGGGAAAGGGAAAGGGAAAGGGAAAGGAAAGGAATGGGAAGGGAAAGGGAAAGGAAAGGGATGGGAAGGGAAAGAAAGGGAAGGGAAAGAGATAGGGAAAGGGAAGGGAAAGAGAAGGAAAGGAATGGGAAGGGGAAGGGAAAGGGAAGGGAAAACGAAGGGGAAAGGAAGGGAAAGGAGAAGGAAAGAGAAAGGTAAGGGGAAGGAATGAGGAAGAGAAGGGGAAGGAAAAGGAAAGGGGAAGGAAAGGGAAAGGGAATGGTAAAAAAGGGAAAGGAAAGGAAAGGCAAGGCTCACCTGATTGTATTGCAGCGCGCCCAGTTGCCCGGGGAGCAGCACCTCCTCCATCCGGTGCGCGGCTCCCATCTTCTGGAGCAAGAAGTCGAGCTGACCGGCCGAGAGGCTCCGGTTGGTTCCGAAGAGGGTGACGAGGTCGCCCGAGAAGGCCACTTGGGCGCCCGCTCCTCCGAAGGCGACCACCAGGGCCAGCGCGCCCACCAGGAGCGTCCCAGGCAAAGCCATGGCGGGGTCCCCCTCTCTCTCTCGAGTCTCTCTTGTCAGGCGAGAGCAAGGAGCGAGCCGGCAGCCTGGCGTGGAGAGGAGCGTGTCACGAGTGGCAAGCGCAGCATCCAAGCCAAAGGAGTTGCGCAGGCGAGCCGGCTCCTGCTGCCCGCCTTCCTCTTGGCCGCCGCTCCTTCTTGGCCTCCTTCTTTGCCTCGCTCCAGATTTAAGGCGCTGCTTCTCCGCGTCCCGAAAGGCTCAGGGACACTGGGACAGCCCCGGCGGCGGGAGGGGCGAGCGGGCCAGCGAGCAGGAGGAGGAGGAGGCTCCAAAAAGCAGTGCCAACCGAGAAAGGCGGCAGGGAATGCTTCTTGATTCTGGGAGGAAACGCTCCCCAGATGCCCACCCCGCTCCTCCTGCGATAAGAAAGGGGTCAGAGGGAGGCAAACTGAAGGGAGAGGGGTCCAGGGTGCAGCTCCTTCTGCTGTTGTTTTCAAGGCCCCCAGTTCTTCTCTGACCCCATAAAGCAGGCGTGGGAAAACTTCGTCCCTCGTGTAATTGTGGGAGTTGAAGTCCAAAACACCTGGAGGGCCGAAGTTTGGGCATGCCTGCCATAAGAAATAACATTCCGTATATATATTACTCATAAATAAAGCCTAGGCATAGTAGTCAACAAATCAACCCCCAAAAAACTGGGTCAATTTTTTCTCGTGTCAGGATGAGAAACTGCAAGTCACTTCTGGTGTGAGAAAACTGGCCGTCTGCAAGGATGTTGTCCAGGGGACACTGGCATGTTTTACCATCCTGTGGGAGGCTTCTCTCATGTCCCCGCATGGGGAGCTGGAGCTGACAGAGGGAGCTCAAACCGCTCTCCCTGGATTCGAATCGCTAGCCCAGTGGTTCTCAACCTGTTGGTCCCCAGATGTTTTAGCCTTTACCTCCCAGAAATCCTAACAGCTGGTAAACTGGCTGCGATTTCTGGGAGTTGTAGGCCAAAACACCCGGGGACCCACAGGTTGCGAACCACTGCGCTAACCTATGGGTCAACAATTCTACCAGCACAAAGGTTTAACCCATTGCACTACTGGAGGTTAATGAAAGTACTGAACTCATATATTTTAAAAGAAACCATCCTCAAGTAGAGGGGCAAAAGGTGAAAGCTTAGTCCATCCCAGGAGGACCTAAAATAAGAACTATTCTCTCCATCATGGCTCCAAAATCTACCCTCAATTTATACATGTGGTCAACTTATACAATTTATACATGTGGTCAACTTAAGTCTAGTTGAGTTCAACCCCCAGAGTTGAACTCAACTAGACTTAATGTCAAGGGTAAAGATTGGTAGTGCTCATCTCCATTTCTAAGCCAAAGAGCTGGCGTTGTCCATTGACACCTCCAAGGTCACGTGGCTGTCATGACTGCATGGAGCTCCGTTACCTTCCTGCCCATTGATCTACACACAATTGCATGTCTTCAAACTGCTAGGTTAGCAGAAGCTGGGGCTAACAGCAGGAGCTCACCCCACTCCACATTCGAACCGCTGACCTTTTGGTCAGCTAGTTCTGCAACTTAGCAGTTTAACCCACTGTGCTTTCGGTGGTTAAATAAATTGCAGTGTTCCCTTGGTATTCACAGAGGTTGGGTTCCTGTACCTCTCCTGTCTCCACCATGTATACCAAAACCCATGGATGCTAAAATCTTATTATATACAATGGGATAATAGCATGGTGTCCCTATAAAATCAAAATTTGCTTAGGGTGATTTTAAAAAAAAAATGGATTCAGAATCCGTGGATATAAAGGACCAACTGTACATATCTCTTAACATGCACATAGTTGCATTTGTTGTTGTGTGACGTCAAGTTGTTTTGGACCTATGGGGACCCTATGGTGAATTCATCATAGGGGTCAATCAAGTTTTATCCAGAGAGAATTTGTTTTTGCCTTCCTCTGAGAGAGTACGACTTGACCACAGTCTCCCAGTGGGTTTCCATTACTAAGCAGGCATTTGAACCCTGCTCTCCAATGCTCAAACCACTTCAACATCTGAGATCTTCCTCTATTCCTGAAGGCTTTCAACTTTGGTGAGTGTTGTTGCTTTTTCCAATGAGTCATGGCATCTCATGTTTAATCTTTTGGCTACTAGTGAAAATCGAGGCTTGATTTGCCCTTAGACGCATTTGGGCCTCATGTCACAGTGCTGTGTTAGCACAAATATTTCAGTGTCTTGTGGTATCTTAAAGATGCAAGACTCAGGCTTTGGTCTCACACAGCCCAGCACTCAAAACACTATGTCATACTGACTTTGTTTTTGTTTATTAATATTGAGCATTTATTCAGTATGAATTTATAAAGCAGGTGGCTTCATTGTCCCTAAACTGAACTAATAAATACCCAAGCAATATTAAAAGTTATACAAAATGCTGAAAAATTGAAAAAGCAGCCATCAAACTCTGAAAATCACTAGAAAAGATGTGATATCAGGATTCTTGCCAGTGGAAATAGGCTAATAGTTCCCAACCTGTGGTCCGTGGACCACCAGTGGTTTGCAAGAACTAAAATATGGTCCAGAGCATCACAGTTACTACACCGTTGCAACAAGAGTGACTGGTCTTGTGAAACCCTTTTGTATTGCCGAGGCAACTGGGATTTTGGGAGGAAAGAGACTGACTACCCACGAAAGGCACAACAACAAGCCTCCTGACTGCTACTTCTCCTCCTCCCTTTTCCTGAGCAGAGCCATTCCATGTAGCGCCTGGAAGTGGGGATGCCTTGGTGTCTTCATTTTTAGGCCTGTTCCTGGGGTTATTTGGGGTGCTGATTCAGAAAATTGCATTGGATAGACCAGCTCTAGATTATTAAATATGGTTTTCTGTTGGTGAGTAGATGGTGACTACTGGATGGCATATGTTCTGTATCAGAAACTAGAGCTGATGTGGCCTATCCAATGCAATTTTCTGAATCAGCACCCCAACTAACCAAACCAAATCTAAAGTTGACAAAAAAACTTATTTGTAACCCTTTTGGTATTAATGTTGAAAAGTGGTCCCTGGTCAAAAAGAGGTTGGGAACTACTGGACTAGGCAAATAGTTAGGGAACTGTCTTTGTGGGGATTGCCCCTTTTTAAAATATTCAGGAAAAGCCAAACTTGTGTTTTTGAGAATTACGTGTATCTCATCAGTGAAGCTATGATTTATGAACAATCAAAGCTTGAATTTGCCAGGAGAAAGCTACACAGCAGCAGTCCCTGCACAAAAAGAGACCAAGAACATTGTAGATCAGCCTAGGCCAGCTTCCTATTTCCAACAGAATGCAATTTAGCTGAAATAAATAATTACAAATAATGTATTACAGTAATATCTTTAATTAGGCCAACTTAAAGATTGTTAAATATTTTGTCAGGCTTCATCAAGGACTCCCATTTTTGAAAGTATAGAATCTACATCTTTTTATTGTTATATATATATATATATATATATATATATATATATATATATATATACTCTCTATGTCTCAGGAGGTAAATTTGTCAGCCTTCTTCAACACACTTTTTAATGTCAAGAGGGCTTTGGATTTTTAATACACTGAGCAGCAGGACTGAGGAAGTCTCCTTGGTACCAGAAGGACACCAGTGGCCTCCCGGTGTTTCTGCAATTGTTGCCTTCCTGTATCGTCTCAGCAATTTGCCTGGTTTACTGTTTGGCTGGTCGCAATTTACCTGGGCAAGATAAGGAACACTCCACTAAATCTGTGGTGGCCTCCACTGCCTTTTTGAGGGGCTTTGCTCTTGAAAACCTCTGTTGAATGGATGCTTGGTCTATTCTGCTCACCTTTGTCACACACGACAAGGTTGCTGCCCGCTGTCATAAACACACGACAAGGTTGCTGCCCGCTGTCATGGGCATCATGCCACTTCTCTTCAGTGGCACGATGCCCATCAGCCATATTAGTAGCTTGCTAGTCTACCATATGTGCAATTTCACAGACACCATGATAAAGAAGTAATGGTTGCTTACCTGTAACCATGTTCCTTCAAGTGGTGAACTGTTACATTTGCCCATCCTTGCCCATCCTGCTCCTAAGATTGTTGATTTGTTATTTTTGTAGTAAAGAGAATCCCAAGAAAGGTCTGAAACCATCTCATTACCCTTTAAAGCCTAATTAGGATGCTTGCAGCTTTTTCCAGGTTTTTTTAATCTAAAGAATACAAGATACAGAGGCTATGAAAACAACTTCTTTGGGGCTTTAACTATCAGAATCTCCTGAAAATGCGAGGTTAGGGGTTGCAGTCCAAAAACGTAACTTTATGAAATAGTGTAAGTTTGCATCATTTCCTAAGAGCCTTGTGCTTTCCTAAAAGCACTTTTTTTTAAAAAAGCATTTTTTAAAAAGATATTTAACAATGGCCCAGCATAGGCTTTCAGGAAGTCCACAGGAGTTATAACAACCACAGCTTAGCTCTCTGCAACTGTTACTCAAAGATATACTGCCATCTTGTAATTTATATCTGTAGTGCCTTTTAGCCATTTTGTTCAGAAGCTGCTGACTAGTTCATTGATCTCTAATCTATTTGACAAGTCATCAAAGCCTGAAGCCACCATCATATCTTCTTAGCCTTTGTTCAGGCACTCAAAATCCATAGAAGAGAATATATACTAAAGGCCCATCCCTGACAAAATGCATATTTTTGTCAATATTTCATCTTAGTGCACATGTATGGGCCAGAGTAAAGTCTACTTTTCTATATACTCCCCATTTATGTCCATTTTCCATATGCAGTGAGCAGAAATTCCATATTGTTGCAGTATATTGCCTTGCAATGTAGCATTTCCTTTTTGTCTTTCCTGATGCTAGTGCCAATTTCAGTGAGTGATTCCCTATTTTTTGAGATATGGAGAAAAGACGGAACATATCTATCCATGTCTTGGTTTTATAAAATGATGTCATGTCCTTAATCCTATTTTTTCTAAATCCAATGGCCCTGAGGCGCCCTCATATTTCTTCATAGGGATGCTGCTGCAATTGCTTTAATCTTTATTTTGGTAATTCTTGTTTGCATCCTGTACAGCTCTACATTATCCCTTTTCACATGGGGCAACCAGTGCTACACAACACAGCTGGTGACATCCATATTACTGAGGGGGGTTAAATCTACTCCAGATTTTAATCTGAACTGTAAAAATCTATACAAGGAGCTGAACTTTTCAGTGAGATAAGTTTCAACACCTTAAATAACTACCAGTTATTAGACACTATGCATGTTCACAAATTTTGTTGCTATAATTTCTACCATTTCTTTTGTGTCTTCCGTTTCTTCAG